TAAAGTGAATCTATTTACATGTAAAATGAATTGGTTGACTACCTTACCATGTACCGATCTTAGACGCTAAAAGAATAACGCGATCTTCGGAATTTACCATCACAGAAGCTTCATCAAAATTATCTGTGAAGTTTTAAATACACTAAGCTTACTTATAAAGTGTCAGCTCCGTGCGATTGTCGAATACATGTGCTCGCATTGTGTCATTTTATCCTTTGCTTATATTCAAACACCTGCCTTATTAGCAGGTGTTATGTTTGTTTTTTATTGATAGGCTGACATGATATTTTCTGACAAGCACGTATGCATCATTTTAATTTCTTAGTTTTTAAGAGTAGATTAATAAACACTACAAACCAGTTTAATTTAGTTATACCGAGTGAACTGCGTAGTTCGTACTTCTTTTAACGTTGTTTGCGTAACCGTTTGCAAAACGCCGGTCGGATGTCCTGCCTTGTCTGGAAAGGCAGTTTTGTATTTTGCATTTGAGGTGTTCATTTGTTCATTCGATAACAACAACAACAACAACATCTTAAACACGGTGGGTTTTAAAGCTAATATAGCTTATGGGGCCGTTTAAAAAAATGTTAATAGGATAGTAAAAAATTGAAAAAATGCAAAAAAGATATGATACGATTATTTTGCAAATGAGGTTGTCCTTCGGTTCTTTTTCTCAAACTGAAATGTTTACTTTTAAAACCGACTGGAAGCGTTGCGTGATCAATCAGTTTCTACGATGACGTCAAAGAGATGTCCGCCAAATGTTATTATTCTCAGTCACGATCCGTTTTGCTGATCAGAAAGCTAAAAATTATTTATTTTCTTTCCTAACACTGGATGATTTCTCCTCACAATCGTACACTGGCTATTTTGCAAGAGAAATCGATAGTATTTTTTACGGCTTTGCTCATATCTTTTCTGTATTTTTTTCCTATTTTCAGGGTCTTTCCCGGAGGAGTAAACACGCACGTAAATTTGATTGGTAAATGAGTTGTCAGTCATCCGTAATCATGGTAACAAGGTGCGGATAAACGTCATTTAGCCAGGAGTTTCAAGGAAGTTCTCGAAAACTGGCGGACGTGAAAACTCGACTCTCTCGTCTTGTGGATAAATTTCATTATTGCTCTTGGTTATTTCGACGAATTTACACCGGTAGATCTCTTTGAATTTTTTTCCTACAGACCAAGGTGGTCTGAGATCCCCTTTGCCGTTTGCGACGACATCAAGTTTACGAAAGTTTGGGATTCGTGGTGCAATGATTCCGTGACAAGTGGGTACAAGTGGAACATTCTGTCCTGCTCAGCACATTCGATGATTTCGCCACAGTTATACAACTTGTGCTAAATCTGAAGAGCTTTTTGGTGTCTTCAATAATATTTCGGTGTGATTAACTTAACTCAGCACATTCAAGGAAGCTGAGTGATTCGATTAATATTGTCGCTCTCGAGTCTTCACGCATACATTGATTAATCAACTTCCTCTCTGAGACGGTTTAGTTTCTCGAGTTTAGTATTCTCGGCCAAATGTGCCTAACAAAGGCAAGCAGCGTGGAGCAGGAGCAGTTTGTGGAATCTGCAGTGAAGAAACAGCAGAGGAATAAGCGGAAAAGAAAACCCAATATGTTCGTGGCTGCAGTCTTGGAATGTACCGTGCGAAGGATTTGTAGCGAAGTGTATTCAAGTAACTTTTGTGTCTGTACCTCAGTTTCGAAGAGGAGGAAACTTGATTTATGCGAGCAGCCAAGTGAACTAAGAACTATCGGATCATCATCATCATGGGATGATCGGCGAAATATTGCAACTGAAAAACAAGTAAGCATTTCAAAGTCAAGTAGTGAGCGTAACTTCTCGCCGGCCCCGGAAACAACTGCCGTGTCAGAAAACCCGCAGTGTGTTCCCAGCGAGGACTCGCAGCTTGAAGAATTTCTCCACAGCTTGACTACAGAATTGACTGATTTTCCAACGTTTGAGGATGTAGATGAACTTTTAAGAGAAATCGACGGCGATTCGTCGGACTTAGATGTTTGGGAAGACGAAATTGAAGCATTGTTGAGCACGAATGCAAGCGATCATTTCCATCCTGGTCTATTCGAAGTGCTGTTCAGGAGTTAAAAATTATTTTTTTGTGAGGAGGAGGGGGATTGGCTGGACAAACTCTCATCCTTGCCTATTCTTAATAGTAGCATGCTTTCAGTGGGTGAAAAATACTTGTTACTTCCGCTCGGAAATATGTGAAATGTTTCTATGCAAATGTTTCAATGCTGTGACTGTCGTTGTTTCACATTTGATAAGGTCGCTGAATTTTTTTTTTATTGTGAGTCTCGGCCTGTTGTATTTTTTATATATACTTAATGCGGCTTACGGGGCAATTATGAGGAATTTCACCCTGCTAAGGTGGGGGATGGCGGCTGGGGGAGTTGGCTCAGATTTCAGTCTCACTGCCAAAACAGATCCCATTGTTATACCTTTCGACTCAAATACGTTTTCCGATTGGAGGAGAGTGTGTCACGTGTCGTGGGTCAAAATTCACTAACCCCCTAGGGTGAACAAAGCTCACTAACTCCCTAGGGAAACAACAACTTGAACTTTTGGCTCACACGTGATCAGGTCGTACTCTTTGAAACTGCAACAAATTTGTGAGCCAGCTGGCCTCAAGCAAACAATTTCTTTGCAGTTTTTTTTATTTTTGAGTTGGGAGATAAAACAAAACACTTAATTACTGGTCCTGCAGGAAACATTGAGTTTTGTTTCCCCTCGACCTCAATGTTCCCTAACATTGTTGAGGGAATATTGTTGAGGGAATATTGTTGAGGGAACATTGTTGAGGGAACATTGTTGAGGGAACATTGAGGGTCTTGGGGAAACAAAACTCACTGTTTCCCTCGGGGCCAGTCATTAAGTGCTTATTGAACTTGAGTTGGTGATTTCAAAGAGAACGTTTCAGTCCAAACTGAAAATATTCTTCACTTGCCATATGAGTTAGATTTACTAATGACTTAATACTTCGGAGATATGTAGGACCACTCAAAGAGTACCCCCTCTCTTAGGCTGTGATGAATGGAAATAGTTAATGTAACAATATACTTGGATAATTTCGTTTGGAATGTTTTTATTTTATACTATTTACAATACCAGATATGTATTTATTAAGAAAGAGTTTTGAATAGAAGTAAACCTTCAGATTTGTACGTTTTAATAGAGGACCATTTCTTTCTATGAAGTGTGCAGGTAATTATTCATCAAGTATTTATACTACAATCAGATTGCCATAATTTTAAGAAGTTAAAAATAAATTGGAGTCTTAAGTTATTGAATACTGCCATGACTGTTCTTCAATTTTGATGGGAGAAATATCAAAGTAAATAAAATTTTAGCATTAGTCATTCATCTAGACTAGACCCCCTGTCTTCATGGCCAATCAGGCTTTTCCTATCTCCAAGACTAGAATGAGCCTATTGTTTGTTTCAAAGTGCCTCACCAACAAAGGGCCAATCTACACTAGGCAAACTTATGTTTATTTTTCAAAAATATCCGTCATCAAGTGCAGATGGTGATTGTAGTCCTACCAAAGTTTGTCAACCTTAATAAAATTTCAAAAGCACCATCATCCCCTGGGGATGGGAGACACCCATGTAAAAAGTACAGGGGAGCTTGATGGAAATTTTGAAAAGAAACCCCAAGAGGTACCAAGATCCTTTTTTTGTGTATGGCTGGAAATTTTTTTCACCCCTATGAGGTACCAACTCTAAAACAACACATGAACTTACATTGACTTTTTTCAGCTTACTGCGCCTTTCAATAACATGGACTCTAAAAATTCAAAGCTCAACCAACAAATGTGTTTTTTGCTACCGTCAACAAACGTTCGACGGCTCTTCCCAGCTTCTGACTACTGCTGAGTGCGTGGTAATCAAATCAAATTGTTGAGCACAGTTCAGACAACATAGTCAGAAGCTGGGAGGAGCCGTCGAACATTTGATTGATGGTAGCGAAAAACACATTTGTCGGTTAAGCTTTGAATTTTACAGTCCGCATGCTATTGAAAGGTGCAGTAATACCCTTAAAGATACAGTGGAAGCTCCTGCTATGGACCTTTTTAGGCTGAAGGCCATACGAGGTACTTAACCCACCTTTTTAACCCCTAAACAGTACAATGAGCACCCCCGTTTCTTTTATATGGGAGTCCCCTACCCCCCGGGCATCATCCTGCCTGCAAGCCATTTCTCTCAAGCATCAAAACCAGCAGACCTGGCAATCCAACCAAGGATGTTTTGCCATGACCAGGTGTAAAATGATCAACATTTTGTGATCAACTACATTCTGCTGTTATGTTACATTCAGGTTGTAAAATTCTTATATTATCTATGTCATCTGGGCTGGGTTGTTCAAAAGCTGGTTAACGTTAACCCAGAAGTAAAAGTCAACCGAAGTATTAATTTTCCTTGTATGAAAAAGTTTTTCACTGCTTATCTTCTGGTCTCTTTTGTGTAGTTTGAGATTATTCCAACTTAAACCCAGAGTCAAACAATATAAACAGAAAACCTCACTGAAAAATTACAAAAATGAAATCAAAATTCTTGCTATTCTTGGGTCAGAGCTTAATCAGGCTTTGAACAACCCGACCCTGGAACCCTAAACAATCAACCCAAACAAAAAAGTGGTAAGGCTATAGCACTAGCAGCCCCTCCTCTGCTGTGCTGGGAGTATGAAGAACTGGTAAACTGTTCACGGAAAACTGTTCACGGAACCTGGGAGCAATGAAAGGTGGTTGAAGGGATATTGCAACATTTTTTTTTTTTACAGGTGCTTAGGTTTTCCATGACCCATACAAACCCTGCTGTATTTTTGGAAATTACACCCCACAAGCCCCAACTGTACGCGTAAAAAATAGATGTACCAGAAATTGGTCAGAAAGGAGAAAATATAAATTAAATTATACGACTTCTAAAAGTTTTCCCCACATCACTCTAACTTGTGCTGCATAAACAGGGTTTGCCAAAATGTTGTTTTAAACTTTTCTTTATTGTCAACATGATTGTGATATTCCTACAAGATCAGATGCTGGCATAGCATGAAATAAGTCAATACAAAAAGAGTTTAGAAGAAAAACTACATTATAAATCAATTTTCAAATGATATACTTAGGTTTACAGAGAACTCTAATTAACAATTCAATGAAAGATGCAGAGCACTTTTTGCCTTCAGTTAACTATCTGAACACTTTGCTGAAGGTCATGTATCTTAGTATGTTAGCAATATGTTGGATAGCAGATTAAAGGTGGCCAGCTGACAGCTGTGTAGCAAGCGTAGATCATCAGCAAGCTAATACTGCCATGCTCTTACCAAATATTGAAGCTCTTGACCAATCCATAAGGAAACTTAAACTGGCATCGAGACATTAATAGTTTTTTTTTCTAATAAATATCCAAAAGCACAGATTACAGTATTATCTTCCAAAAGGTCACTTTTCACTATAATAACCAGAATACTTTCTTTTTCTTTGAGTAATTGGGCTACTGTTAAGGGGCAGAGAAATGAATAATTATAACTGTTCCTGGAGACAACAAACTGAGGAAAAACACATCTCCAAGGTAACCACTTCTGATATGAAAAGCAATTACCACTAAATAAATCTGTTTGAACATAAACAATGGCAGACATACCATACTTAACCTAAGGCATTGAGATGTATGAAAACATGTTTCACGTACGACTGTTTCTTGGAATCAACAACTCTGTGTTGAAAACTGATGTCAAAATGTTCATGGGTTAAACTTAACAACAGACAATTCAAACCTAAAGAACTAACAAAACTATGTTTTGGGCTTTCTCTTTCTCTCAGGCTTGAAATTAGCCTGTCTTCCACCAAATAATATAGAAATGTACAGCAATTAATTTACTTACTGTTCATAACTTCTACATTTCAATATAAAATAATATAAAATACATTACTTATCTTTATTTATATTCCACACTCTTCAATAGAACACTTTATATTTGATGATGGAATGAATGAATAAATGAATGGAAATAACTTGTACGAAAATAATACAAAGTCAAAGTAGAAAATGTAGGCAATGATACTACAAGTAGGTTCTTCCGCTATCCAAGGATCAATCTGTGAGAAACGAAATAACATGAGAAGAAAAAGCACATTGCCAAGTTTCCTCCCATGTTCCTCACTTCTTGCTCAACAATAGGGAGCTTAAGCAAACCACAACGACAATGGCAATAAGAATGTCACCAACAAAAGACTTAATAAGCAAAACAAATGCTGTGCACGTGCGTTACATTTCCTTGCTGTCCTCTGCAAACAACATTGTGAAATGACCACGTTCTGCATAGTAGTGAACGATGGCAGCTAATTTTTCATCTTTCCTTTTGGAATTGAACACTGTCATTACATATTTAGCCTGAGCATGTTTTAGAGCCATTGGCGTACTGAACAGATCTGGACAATAGCAGATTCTGCTGATAAAATATCAATTCATTTTTGACAACGCGTTGTCCTTGGCGTCCCTGTCATCATTGCTTAAGCTCCCAGGAATGACCATGTGAATTTGCTTGTAGTTTAGAGAACACTTATGGATTTTAAAACTAATGGTTCCATCAGATTTGTACAAGACGATGCATGCAGCCCTAGGCTTCTTAGCGCCAATGGCAAAACATTTCCAACAAGAAATAATACAACTTTCGTTTGCTAACAGTTGGTAACATTGGTAACATGGTAACACTGTACCACAATTATTATAACAATCCAATGTTACTGACTTCACTGTCACTTTTCTAACAATTAAAAAGCACTCTAAAGTAGTTAAACTCGTTCTGAATTCTCTGCTCCCTATGAAAACATTACAAACAAAAAAAAAGTACAAAAATACATGTAGATGGTAGATATCATACTTGTCAACAAAATCTAACTAATGATTAAAGAATATTAACTAAAAACTAATAATAAATATTAATCTTGCATTTCTTCTGGCATGTCATGGGGGTTAACCATTCCTGGCACAGACAGTTGAACTTTTCTTTTTTCCTCCTGCGCAGCGGTCAACTGTTGTTCTCGTTCTTCCAGATACAAATCACTGACATCTTCAGATCGGAATTCCTGAAAAAGCAAAGAACACTTGTTACCGAGACCGTCACAGAATAATGAGTAGTATGGAGCTTTGATTGACAGGGAAGCTTAAAAATAATACTCACTCTTTTCAAGGCATCAATTGAAATGTTTCATGCTACATATTGCTGTCAATTTTTACGGCTCCTCACCCCTAGGATTTTGTGCAGCCATTTTTTACTTGCGGTTTTCTTTCGCGTCACGCACGACAGACTAAGCGAAAGAGGGGCTACTCGTAGTATCTTCAATTATAAAAATGGATTCCAGGGAACATGTTGATCTAACAGAACTCTAACTGTGATTAATGAATAGGCCTCTGGCATTGTTCAACCTAAATAAATTAGTAGAAATACATATATAATGTCAATGCTGTACATCCAAATCACCCACCTTAATTTGAACCATGAAGTCTCGTAAATGTTCTTTGAAGGCTGGAATGTTTTGGTTGAGATCAAACAGTCCTTGAACAGTCAACTTGATCTGCGCACTAAATTGAAAAAAATGTATTAACAAACCTGAATGCAAAGAGAATGTTTACAGACAAACTAGAAGGCACTTGATTGCATGATATTTAAACCAAAATATATTTGACTTCTTCCCCTCCAAATTCTCCATTGTGAAACTACTACAATTATCATTACAAAAGAATTCTTTGATTTTTTTCAATGAAGTTGTAAACAAGTCATGAATCTATAGATTGAAATACAACTAAAAATGAAGTACTAAGTGAACACAATATAACTTACTCTTGCAAATGTGGAAACGCTTGCTTCAGAAGATTGGCAATGCATGCTTGGACGTAAGCCTATATAATCAAGAATATATAATACATTTTTAATTTATATACTGCACACCTTAAAGGGGGAGTATCCCACAAAACAAAGTGGGCGTTAATTTGAGGTGAACCCTCCCACAGATTCAGACATATTGTCCAACACTGTCAACTTATATAATCTATCACTAGATAGCCTATAACCAGTTGATGGTTTTGTCTAACCATCTGATTTACTTACTTGATTTATTATCCTCTCTGAAGGGAGGGGGGGTGGGGAGAATGAATGCATCAATGTAGAGAGAAAAACCTTCACTTGTAGAGACTTAGCTACATAAAGATAAATTTGGGCAGGCAGCTTGCTGAGATGTAGCACTTAAATGTAGACACTTACCTGGTTCGATGGGTACTGTGTGCCTTCTGATGACGAAAACAGAGGTTCTGATACCTTGCCTGTCTCCACCAAACTGAACAAGTGTGCTAAGATAGTCGCGTGCATTGTTAAACCTGAAGACAACAAATAGATAAATCAGTTAGCATAACTTCGTAACTAGACACAAAGTCTAGAATTAACCCCTGGAGAAATCACTAGCATTATCAACCCTTCAAACAAGTGTGTACACTCTTTTAGCAGTGTCTAGTTGGTGACAAGTTTATTGTGAATGAAATGTTTATCTGACATTCATGTTTATCAACAGTATCGGCTGCAATGTGAAGTTGAGAGCATGTTCAGTTTTTTCCTGAGTTTCACTTTTTGTATCCATGATCCCTCGCAGGGGTAAGGAACATGTGCTTTATTGTGATGCCAAGTTTTTGGCAGTGACTCATTTTTGTGTTCAAGTTTGCATAGAATTTTTGAGAAGGGTGTCAGTCAAAGCAGTGCATAACAAGCAAGAACGTTTCACATGTGCATGCTGAAAAATGAGCTAATTGTGTGTTCTTAATGAAACTGATGCCATTACAAGAAGCCAACTTTATAAGTACCTGCAGTGTGAGATGTGTCTGTTACAACTGATAACACATGCTGTACAATCATCATGTAGTACGTCTGGTAGAAGCTTTGTGCCGCTGTTTCTTGCTCCAAGCTCTTCAACAAAGAGTACAAAATATGCAGTCCTGCAAAGAAAGAACATAAACATAAGCAGCCTGCCTAAAACATTTGATCAAATACTACAAATACTAGATGGTCTGTGCAACATTTTTGTTGCAATGTTCTTTGTCTACAACAAATAATGCATTTTACTATATTCTATACTACACAAAGTAAATCATGAGAAAAGTTCCCAGCATTACTTTTAGAAAAGTGTCTAAAGTAAGTTGAAACACTGAATCTAATGTGATGGTGCAATTTAGCACCAAGGGTGCTACAGTACTTTCAATTTTGACAGCTCAAAGAAGGCTGCATATAAGAGACATACTGCAAATGATGCTTGTTATAACAGGGGCAATTAAAATAGGAATGTTCATTACAAAAAAACATAAAACAGAAGGCATTTACATTAGCAAGTTAGAGGAAAGGAAATAATTATTGGAAGAACATACCAATATCAGCAACATTTCTCATGGTGTGTTTGAACGCCCAAACAATAGAATCCAACACCAGCTTAAACTGCTGAGGAGGTATTGATAACAGAGCTGCAGAGAAACAAAGTTGTTAATGTATTGATAAACCTTGCGTACTCTAAGGACAAAAAAATGGATTTAAAGTTACCAGAGGAGTATAAGGTACAATTTGTCTTCATACCTGGGTTGCTTACCAGGACACCACTTCACTGTGATCTTCATGGCATAAAGCAAGTAGTAGTATTGCTTTCCCCAAGGGGGGGGGAGGG